TATATATATATATATATAATCTCATCATGAATTTTGTTTCAATGAAGAAAGTAGAGGGAGGACTGATTAATGTCTGGCCAATAAAAAATATGTAGGTATGTAAATATACTTTAAATTAATGAAGTTGATCAATAAAAAAAATACAATACAAAAATAATAAAAATACATTAATTATATTTTAATTCATTATAAATGTAAGTATGTCAATGATAAAGTATGTAAATATAATTTAAAGCTGGTCTCCAGCCTGTCCACCATATTTTTTTTCTTCAGCCCAGTGTAAACTTGGTTGCGGGTTGCAACCTTATGAGATACTCACCCGCCCAGCAGATCAGAGGTGTTCTGCAGAATCCAGAATCTCCACAATTCAGCCCCCTCTCAGTCCTGTGCCACCATCTTCTTAAGCAATGTCATCGAGAGGCCTGCCTTCTCTTTCAGGTTAAGATGCCGGGCTTCACAATGACTCAGCGCTAGGCCTGCCCACACTTCTCTTTTCTTAATGAAGTCCTTCACCTTGGAGAATGTAGTGCATTTTGGTGGAGAGCCCAAAGCCCCCCAGGAGGCAAGTTGTGTTTGAGGCTGAAGATCTGCTTTAAATTAGTTCAGTTGCATAATACATAAATTAATAAAATAAAATACATTATTTGGATACATTATAAATTTAAGTATGTAAATATGTAACGGGGTTGATTTTCTAAAGGAGTAGAGCATGTTCACTTTCGAAGTGAATGACCAGGTTGGAAAGTGAATTTTCAATTATAGTTTTGAATGAGGTGAAGCAAAGTAAAAAATGTTCTTAGTAAAAATGTCCCTATCCTAAGAAAGGAAAATTAACAGGGATTATTGCTTGTGCAGCACCCCTCTAGATAGTAACATTTTTAGTTAGCAGGCCTGGGTAGCAGCCTGGGTGTAATAGCAGGGTCAAATTGCGGTCAGAGCTGAAAGGCTCAGCAGGTCAGTTCCCTGATACCTCCCCCTGCTCTAGAATCTTGGAGAAGATTCTAGAAGCAGTGGACGTGGCTGAGGAGAGGGCGCCTGCACACTTAGGGGGACCCTGGCCAATCCCCAAGCAGGAGGCTTGGCATGGGGCCAGGGCAGCCCTTAAATGTCAGAGAGCCTGCTCAGCAGCAGGAAAGTTTGGGTGGAAGATGGAGAGTGAAGGCTGAGGAACAGGAGTCTGGGAGGGGACCCAGTTGGGAAGGGGCTCACCTACAGGCAGTGGAGCTGGAAAGGAGGAAAACTCAGGCTCTCATTGACCCCCAGAGTGAGGACAACCTGTGCAGTGGGGAAGGAGCAGCCCAGCAGAAGGCCTGATAGCAGCCACTGACCCATCAGCTCACAGACAGAGGACTAAGTGAGTAGACCTACACCCCCTGGGCCAGTAAGGGGAAGTAGCACTCTATTGGGAAACTGGATTCATTTTCTACCCAGGACTATCTCACATGCAAAGTGACAGGCACTGGATCCCCTGCCCAGGAATTCCTTCAAACAGCTGTATAGAGTGGATAGAGGAGCATCTGGGGTCTGGGGTGGTACATTAGGAGAGGCTGGCTAGCTCTCCAAGAAGAGAATATTTCTTAAAGATACTTGTACATAGTTCCAGGAAGATTGTCCTCATTTGCAGTTCCCTTTGGGCATCCCATACACCCCTTACCCCATCCAAGTTCAAATTCCCCTAATAAACCCTCCCCCCCTCCAAAAAAAGAAAAAACCAAGCTCAAGAACTGGTTACTGTCTCTTGAATGCAAGTCTGTGTGGAAAATACATGTTGCCTGGCTGTGCAGGATTATATGGGGACCCAAAACTTCATCAATTTCTGAGGGGGTTGAGTGCTGCATTTGAACTGAATGTTCATCATGTGAGTTCGGGGACATGCACCCGCACCCAAACAAAGCCAAAAAACTTGGCCACTGCAAGGAAAGCTGTACTGTTTATTTTTTGCTTTTAAATTGTATTTCATTTTGTAATTCTGAATATTCATATTTTTAGAAAAAAAAAACAGAACTGAGACCCTAAGACAATGGCTGGGATTTTACCCTGAAAAGGGAAGTGACTGCAAATTTTGTTGAATGGTCATTTTCTCCATGAATGCTTTTGTTGTGTGAGATTTGCATAGCTAAGTGCTGTTTAAAGGAAATCTATACTGAGAAATTAAATAGTCTTCTTTATTACCCCTTCCTGCCCCTTCCTAAGTGAGTATTGATGCAGGGAGTCAACACCCTAATTAGGGCTGAGAAGATGGTTTGGTCCACACCTAGGTTCGAACTGAACTTCAGGTGTTCGGGCTTTTGAACTTATGCCCATTTTCCCCCGTCCCTCAGCATCATACAGTATATAGAAGCAGTATTTCTATATATGACAACTTCCTGCAGTCAATGGTTCCCAATGGAGCAGCGGGTGCCGACACCTTCTGTATTCCTAGCAACCACCACAGCCTCTGGCACATTGCCTTAGAACAACCAATTACTCCAGTGCTCTAAAGGACAGTCACCAGACCAGGACAATGTGTGCAGTTTATATTTCCTCTGGACCAATGCTTCAGCGGTGCAGCCCTCCTCAGACAGGGGAATCCAACCATATACTGCAAAAGAACACACAAGGGGCATATAGATTTATTCAAAGAAACCAAATAGCCAATTGAAAAACTCACAAAGGACAGAAGTAACATGCATAACAGAAATCTCCGATGGACCACCAATGTGGCAACAAGTTGATGGTGATGTAATTTGGGGTGGAGTTATAAATGGCTTTATATGTTATTGTTAATGTTTTGAATTTTATTCGTTGGGCAATGGGAAGCCAGTGGAGGGATTGGCAGAGAGGGGTGGAGGACACTGAGTGGAGGCCAGTGGAGGGATTGGCAGAGAGGGGTGGAGGACACTGAGTGGAGGTCAGTGGAGGAATTGGCAGAGAGGGTTGGAGGACACTGAGTGGAGGTCAGTGGAGGAATTGGCAGAGAGGGTTGGAGGACACTGAGTGGAGGCCAGTGGAGGGATTGGCAGAGAGGGGTGGCAGATACAGAACGGTTAGTAAGGTGGATGAGTCTGGCAGCAGCATTCATTATAGACTGAAGAGGGGATAGCCTGTGATTCGGTAGGCCAATGAGGAGGGAGTTACAATAGTCAAGGAGAGATATAACAAGGGAGTGAATAAGTTGCTTAGTAGTTTCCGAGGTTAGGAACGGGCGTATCTTGGAGATGTTGCGGAGGTGAAGTCTACATGATTTGGACAGCGATTGGATTTCGGGATGAAAGGACAGATGGGAGTCCCGAATTACACCGAGTACCCTGGCATGAGGGGAGGGACTGATGGTTGCATTATTGATCTTGATGGAGAAGTAAGGGGAGGGGGCACGGGCTGGGGGGAATATTATGAGTTCCGTCTTGGAAAGTTTTAGTTTGAGGAAGTGGAGTGACATCCATGCTGATATGTCACTTATTAGGTTAGCATTATAGAGAAGTGTCCTCTGCAGAATTGTGCTCAAGCATTGTGGAGTATCCCATTCCCAATTTTCTTCCTCCTGTTACAAGTTTCTTAATAAAGACTGTTTGCTGAGCCAGAGTGAATGGACTGTTGCTGTGTGCCTGGTTGCCTCTGCACTGTTTTGGGAAAGAACCTGTTAAGTCTACAGTGCCCCCTTTGGAGGTAGCGCAACACACCTATGCATACTTGCAATTTGCCAACCAGGACTTTGAAATCCTCAAAGGGATCCACCTGGGTCATGCCAAGCTGGCCCAGTGTAGGTATGCAAAATTTATCATCCCTTGAGTTCAGCTTTAAATGCATGCTCTAGACAAGGGGTGGGCAAACTTTTTGACTTGAGGGCCGCAATGGGTTCATATATTGGACCCGGGGGCTGGACCAAGAGTAGATGAATGATGTGTATGTGTCATCCATAGTAAGTATAGTAATATTCCCCCATAGTAAGCATAGTAATTCATCCCCCATATAGTAATTCATCCCCCATAGTAATTCATCCACCATATAGTAATTCATCCCCCATATAGTAATTCATCCCCCATAGTAATTCATCCCCCATAGTAATTCATCCCCCATAGTAATTCATCCCCCATAGTAATTCATCCCCCATATAGTAATTCATCCCCCATAGTAATTCATCCCCCATATATTAAATTCATCCCCCATAGTAATTCATCACCCATATAGTAATTAATCCCCCATATAGTAATTCATCCCCCATATAGTAATTAATCCCCCCTATAGTAATTCATCCCCCCATATATAGTAATTCATCCCCCCTATAGTAATTCATCCCCCCTATAGTAATTCATCCCCCATATAGTAATTCATCCCCCCTATAGTAATTCATCCCCCATATAGTAATTCATCCCCCATAGTAATTCATCCCCCATATAGTAATTCATCCCCCATAGTAATTCATCCCCCATATAGTAATTAATCCCCCCATATAGTAATTCATCCCCCATAGTAATTCATCCCCCATAGTAATTCATCCCCCCATATAGTAATTAATCCCCCCATATAGTAATTCATCCCCCATAGTAATTCATCCCCCATATAGTAATTCATCCCCCCTATAGTAATTTATCCCCCATATAGTAATTCATCCCCCATATAGTAATTTCATTCCCCCTATAGTAATTCATCCCCCATAGTAATTCATCCCCCCTATAGTACCGTATTTTTCGCCGTATAAGACGCACTTTTTCTTCCCCAAAACTGGGGGGGAAATGTCAGTGCGTCTTATAAGGCGAATATGGAGCGGCCGGTCCGGTATTTCCACCGCGGCCGTGTCAGAATACCGGGCCGGCCGCTCAGCTCTGCAGCGGGACCTTACCTGTTCCTCTATCCAGCGGCGTGCTGTCTTCCCGGCTTCTGTAGTGTGGGCACTGGGCATGACAGCCGGGTGCCCAGTGCGCATGCGCGAGAAGCGGTGCGCTTTGTGAATGGTAAGGCGGTACCTGGGACACATGACAGATCCCAGAAGCCGCCGGACCAATCACAAAGCGCAAGTGCTTCTCGCTCATGCGCACTGGGCACCCTGCTGTCATGCCGAGCGCCATTACAGAAGCCGGGAAGACAGCGCGCGGCTGGATCGAGGAACAGGTAAGATCAAAAACTCTGCGGAAGTAAGAGCGGGTACCTGTCAAATTCAGGTACCCGCTCCCCACTTCCCCAAAGGTCAGCAGTCATCTGTACTGTCCACAGTCTCTGGTCATCCCTGTACTGTCCACAGTCTCTGGTCATCCCTGTACTGTGTCCGCAGTCTCTGGTCATCCCTGTACTGTGTCTGCAGTCTCTGGTCATCTCCTGTACTGTGTCTGCAGTCTCTGGTCATCCCTGTACTGTGTCCGCAGTCTCTGATCATCTCCTGTACTGTGTCCGCAGTCTCTGGTCATCTCCTGTACTGTGTCTGCAGTCTCTGGTCATCCCCTGTACTGTGTCTGCAGTCCATTAGTTCAGAATTTTTTTTTCCCCTGTTTTCTGCCTCTAAAACCTAGGTGCGTCTTATGGGCAGGTGCGTCTTATACGGTGAAAAATACGGTAATTCATCCCCCATAGTAATTCATTCCCCATATTAATTCATCCCCCATATTAAGTCCCCAAGTCCCCCCTGTGTCAATTCACTTACCTTTGCTCCGCGCGTTCCTCTCGCCGTGTTCCCGCGCCGTTCCGGTGTAGCATGAAAATCTGTCTCCTATGAGGATCTGTTCCCCTCGACGTATCTGCGCATGTGCCAGTTTCAGGCATTAGGAGCCGATCGGCGATCTCCGGCACATGCGCAGATACGTCGAGGGGGACAGATCCTCATAGGAGACAGATTTTCATGCTACACCGGTCTTCAGGGTGGACTGTGAGAGGAGCCTAGCTCCCCTCGCGTTCGTCACGCTGCCCCGCCTACACACATCCTGACAGTATCACGCTCCACGGGCCGAATTAAAAGGTCCGCCGGGCCGTATACGGCCCGCGGGCCTTAGTTTGCCCATTGCTGCTCTAGACAGAACATACCTCACTTTGTAGAAGCAGAAATGTACAGGCAGTACCATTAACAAAAATTCTACTGCCATCCTCTCCTACCATTGTCTGCATCACATAGATGTCCAGATGAAGGCTTAAGGAGAGATCTCAACACTGGAGCTACTGATACAAAATTCCAGAAGGCAATTCAGTTCAATCAGCCCCCACCTATAACTGAAATTAGATGTGGAAGTGGACTACCCCTTTAAATTTACATGAGGAATAGCAGATGATGTAGACCAGAAAGTAAACAGGCAATCGTTTCCTCTTCTACTATTAAACTCTTAGAGATGGCAATTGGAAGATGGATGTGGCTGAAGGAAAAAAAAAAAAAAAGGAAGTAGAAAAAAAGATCATCAGCAGTATCTGGAATTTATTAGCGAGAGGACGTTGCTATATGTTAAAGCGCCCAGTAGAGTCCCATCAACAGATTATCCGACTAAGGCTAAAGAACATCCAAACACAGGTATCTATCTGTCTGTCTGTCCGTCCATCCGTCCGTCCGTCTGTCCGTCCGTCCGTGTCTATAGTCAATCCATCACTGTAGAAGACCCCAGATCACTGTCTTGTTTGATGAACAAAATTGCTAGATTGTTTAAATTTTAAATAATTTTATATTTTATATTATTTAGATTTTTTTTATGCAAGCTGATCTACACATGATCTACCCTTCATTAATACCAGAAGAACCCACTTATGTAACCCTCTAGGCATCCAAATCTCTGGAAATTTCCAGAAGTCTCCTTATTTACCCATAACAAGCTCACTTGGAGTAAATAATCCCGACTCTCCCAGAGTCTGTCCAGCTTGTTCCCACACATTCTTCTTTATTCATTCTCTACAAGGGGAGGGCAAAGGGACCAGGGCCATGAGTGAAGCCATGCACAGATTTTCTCTATCTATCTACAAAATTGCTAGATTGTTTATATTTTAAGGATTTATTTTATACTATTTGATTTTTTGTCTGCAAAGACGCTTATTAACACATGATCTACCCTTCATTGATACCAGTAGAACCCCATCTGTCTATCTATCTATCTATCTATCTATCTATTATCTATCTATCTATCTATCTATCTATCTATCTATCTATCTATCTATTATCTATCTATTATCTATCTATCTATCTATCTATCTATCTATCTATCTATCTATTATCTATCTATTATCTATCTATTATCTATCTATCTATCTATCTATCTATCTATCTATCTATCTATCTATCTATCTATCAATTATCTATCTATCAATTATCTATCTATCTATTATCTATCTATCTATCTATCTATCTATCTATCTATCTATCTATCTATTATCTATCTATCTATCTATCTATCTATTATTTATCTTTCTATCTATCTATCTATCTATTATCTATCTATCTATCTATCTATCTATCTATCTATCTATCTATCTATTATCTATTAATCTATCTATCTATCTATCTATCTATCTATCTATTATCTATCTATTATCTATCTATCTATTACTATCTATTATCTATCTATCTATCTATCTATCTATCTATCTATTATCTATCTATCTATCTATCTATCTATCTATCTATCTATCTATTTATTATCTATATATCTATTATCTATCTATTATCTATCTATCTATCTATCTATCTATCTATCTATCTATCTATCTATCTATTATCTATCTATCTATTATCTATCTATTATCTATCTATCTATCTATCTATCTATCTATCTATCTATCTATCTATCTATCTATCTATCTATCTATCTATTATCTATCTATCTATCTATCTATCTATCTATCTATCTATCTATCTATCTATCTATTATCTATCTATCTATCGATCTATCTATCTATCTATCTATCTATCTATCTATCTATCTATTATCTATCTATCTATCTATCTATCTATCTATCTATCTATCTATCTATCTATCTATCTATTATCTATCTATCTATTATCTATCTATCTATCTATCTATCTATCTATCTATCTATTAT